TTGTGATCAGACTACTCTGCTTTAAGAAAATATTATGACCAATTCAGCTCTACTTAAAGAAAAAAAATAGTTCTTTTTTGAACTAAAAGACATAAAAATTTAATCGTTGAACTAAAACTGAAATTACTTTGACCTTAAAATTTATTCCACGATATAGTGAGCCGTACAACCTGTACATCTACTACAAATTGATTTTGTGGGTAGAAAAATCAAAGGTTCCACAATATAGTATTCATTATAATCAGGGTTTGGAAATTAGTTTTAGCTTTTAATACAATTTTCTGATTGCTTCGGCTTTTTAAGCAGCTAATTTCTGGGAAATGATGCAATCACAGTGACTCTGAATACAAAATTTTATAATAATTAGCTGCTAAAAGATATAAAGGCCTGAAAAAAAATTTTTTTTTAATAGCTGCAAAAATATTTCAAAATGTTTTAACTGCTAAAGTATTTTCCCAGCCCTGAATTTAATGCAAAAGAAATTCTAAAGATTGATACCCTCTATCTTGAGATTGTATGGCTCAACTGTTCATTATTTTAAGCTTTTGCATCCAAATTAAAATTAGATTCTAAAAATATATAAGGAAGACTGATTGAACAAAATTATGTCAATTCTTCTTCAAACTGTTTTTATAACTGTTCGAGCAATTTCAGCATTTTTATTTTTTCAGAATTTTACAAAAAAAATTCTGATTTTTTGCTAGCAACTAGTATCTTAGTCCTCACTCTAATAAGATTGGTGTAAAATACAAATTTGCTATTAAAATTTTTAAAATTGTCTCACAATTATTTGGAAATTTGTTGAATTTTGATGTTAGCCATGCCATGCATTTCAAATGAGGCAACACGTCCTAAAAGACGTGATTCGTAACAGACGAAAAATTGTGCCCAGCATCTAGTCGTTATTTTCTGAATGTCAAAAATTTGTTTCAAGCAAAAGTTTGTAGTAAGACCTAATTGTTGATATTGGGGACTAAAGGTTGCGTTCCTTTTGTTATATATGGGTTTGTTGTGCGAGTCTTAAGCTTTGTATTCCAATTGACTTGAAACTTTTATAATCATGTTTCGACCTGAACGATTTCGAATCATGTTTCAAGTTTTCTTTTTTTGAAATATTAGTATTTTCACAACAATGATAATCCAAATCAACATTTTTAAAGCAAAAACCGTTCGTAATTTCATGGTGTTTGTACGTTTTTGGCTACCATTCTTAGATTAGTAATTGAGCTCCCCCAACTAACCCAAATAAAAATTTTGTTATTCTTCTTTTCAAAGAGCGAGCTGCATAGCTCAAAAAATTAATTGCCTTGGTCTCTTACATTCGTTAAATATGATTCTGCTGGCAAGCAAAATTCATTTTATGTCGTGTTTATCATCATTTTACATCACCTTGAAGTTATCGAAGTCTTGGGTGTATAATTTAGAAATATGTTATTACGATGGTGTCTATAGGCCCATGAAGATATAGCAAAATTTCGCCGGGTTGCCCTCCAAACCAAAAAAAAATGCGTATCATACAATTCTAATTCCCTTAATCGAGTCTATGAAAATATGCTGCTCATATATTTACGCTTCTTTGAAACTTGTATCACAAGCATGTACTTCCACGCCGACAAAAACTCTAAAATTTATCAAATTTGTTGTCTAGGTCAATTGGAGTAAAATTATTTCCGTTATGCTGAATGGAGCTCTTTTGTTCGTCAAAAACATGTTTTTGTTTTGTATGGGAAAACTGTTTACCATACAATTTTCCTTTATGGAACTTGTTTGATAAGCGCTTTTTTCATTAGAAAATATAAAAGCAAACGAAAAAATTGTAATTCTCAATTTAGTCGCTTAACCAGTTATTTGTACAAAAAAAAACTCCTAAAAAGAATTTTAAACTGAAATTTTTGCAGATAACGTATTCAGTCCATACAGCTTTTTCTGCACAAAACAAATCAAGAATCACAACGAAAACATTTTGACGTCTGATAACGTTTATACAAAAAAAAACAATAAAGCTAAATTTGTCCCAAAAGAGGTCCCCCTTTTGAATGGATTTTTTGAAAAAGAAGCTTCTTGCCATTTACACAAAATAATTTTTTGTCACAATACTGTGTGAAATTTAATAGTTTAATTTACTTGGCATCCATCAAAGCGTCGTTTAATTTGCAATTTCAATGGTGTTTTAGCTATCAGTTTTCTCATTTGTTTTCTCATTTTTCGCAAAACACATATTTATAAAAAAACACAAAAAAAACATGGAAAAATGCATGTCGTACATTTTCATAGAATCAGAAAAATGTCTATTAAACATTTCCATAGCATAGAAAAATTGCTTATCATGCTAATTTTGTGCAACTCTTTCATTCTATATTTTTGATTGAGATTTATTGGTATTCATTTTTTTTTTCAAAATATGAAATTGAATGACAAGCAGTTTTGTCAACCAGGGCATTTGGCCAACTACGCGGGTTGACCAAAAATGCTAGTCATACAATTTTCATCTATGAAAAAAAATGCTAATCATACACTTTTCATGCAATTCCATAAGTACAGAAGATTGCATGAAAGGTCTATGATTAGTATTTTTTCATAGATGGAAATTGTATGACTAGCATTTTTCCATAAACCAAAAATTTTGATTTTTTGCATTTTAATTTTTCAAAATTTTTTGGTTTTGTTCGTAGGTTACTCAAATGTAGTAACCAAAGGTTCGGCCGTCTCGCATTAAAAATGCATTGGAAACAGCCTGAAATGTTTTAAATGTGTCTCACACAAATAATATAAGTAAAGTAACGAACTTTTAAATTTTGGCAAAAGTTTTCAAAGATGATTATTTCTAAAATTTGAATTTTTCAATTACCAGACATTGATCAAGGCATACAAAAAAATGTCAAACAAAAGAAAGAGGAGTTTTAAGCGTTTTTGAAAAAAACCAATATTGGTACATCCAAGACTACGTTATACGCACTAAAAAATAATTTTGCATGCAATTTTTTTTTCGAAAAATGTTTGTTTGAAAACAAAAAACAATTTGCGGTTGAAAAAAAATTTTTTCAAAAATACTTTTCTTTTTCTAGTTTTTCTTTTTTATTTAGTACGATACACCGAATTTTATTTCAAAACGAGAAAAGTTTTTCGAAAATTCGACGACACCATTTTAGCAAAATGTATGAAATTTGTATGACTAGTATTTTTTCATAGACTTAGTTTGTGGAATTGTATGATTAGCATTTTTGGTCTATGGAGGTCAACCCTGGTCTGCTTAATCCAACATCTTTGCTCGTTTTTTCTAATTTTGAGACCATACTGATAACTTGAACAATATCATCAATTTTTGTTCGCGACATAAATTTTTCGAAAGTTTTTGTTGTTAAGAAAAAATCAACTAAGAGAAAATTGCCAGTTGAATTTTTAGAAAATAGGAGAAGTTTTGGCTAAATATCAAGCTTGATGTCTCTGGATTCAATCAAACGACATTTTTACTCCTTTAGCTGAATGGAAATATTTTTTGATGTAAATCGTGTCTACAAATAAGTAGCTAAAACGCTTTCCAACAAAGTGCAACATTGAAATCTTTGAATTTGATTTTTAATCTACATAAAGTAATGCCAATAACTATTTTTAAAAAATTCTGAGCAAATCTGTCTTTCCCAAAATCAAAACTTTATATATAATAGATAAATTTTTTGGTTCATCAATTCGTACACTACTTTCGTATTTACTGAAGAACTGAGTTATGCTCCGGTGTGGTTTTTCAACCAGCAATTTTTGATCAATTATCATCCGGCTCAAAAGTTGTTCCAGATTGACCTGAGGCAAACCTATTTTTTAGCATACCTCAGGCAAACCTATTACATGTGCGCATCTTCAATCTAATAAATTTTGATTTTGATTTAAAACAAAAATAACAAGACTACTCGTATCAGGGCGAAGCCCTGAATGTTCCGACTCCATTTTAAGGTTTTATGGAGCAGTAATATCCTTAGAAAATTAAATGTAAGAAAAAATAAAATGAAAATTTTTTTTCTAAAATTTGAAATTTTTTATTAAAATCATCACCCCACACGCCATACAAAATATAAAAGGATAAATTTTGCTCTTTGTAACAAATCAATTATGGCAAATAAACTTCTTTCAACCAATTTGGAACGATTTTAAGACGGATTAACTCTCCGCTCACGCGTCAATAGCGCGAAATATATCGCGCGTTAATTGTCCCAAATTGGCCAAAATGCCAATCTTTAAACCCCCATAACTTTACAAAAATGATCACAGGTGAAATATCTTTTCACATTTGAGCCCAGGACAACGATACCTTTCGAATGATATAAAAAAAATTCCGTCAAAAATGGCTAGTTAAAAAGTCGAAATTTGTCTGAAGAAAAAAAAACCCACCCGAGCACAAATATTCCGTCACTTTCGTATCAAAAGTCGGAACAAAAAGACTTTTGACTTTGCCCTCAAGCTAGCACTCTGGCTCAAAAAAGTTCTATGCATTTTTGTGATCAATTGAACTATGTGTACTTTTAAAGACTCTTCAATGCTGATTTTGACTCCAAAATTATATTTCAAAACAACTCTCTATAATAACCAAGAAAAATCGTCTGATAATTTTTTCTCAATAATTTAAGCTCAAAATGAGTCACTTTCATGTCATATCAAAAATGATTTCCTGAATTCTAACATGCACATTTTCCAGCATGTTAGATTTTAACTAAGCATTACAAGGGTAACCAAACTTTTCAATTGAAATCTGAAGGCTACTTTCACCGCTTCTCTGCAGTTTTCGTATGCTCATATCTTTTGCTGGGTTCGTCAATTATCAACCAAGAGTTGTTTTAAGAACTCTAACTGTACTGAAACGAAGAGCCAAAAAGACTTGGTCATAAATACAAGTATAACAGGCTTGAATTCTGGTAGTTGAATGTATCAAATGCTTTAATTTGCGAACAGTCTCAGTTCACATGTTTATCGGTTCGCTTGTGTATTAAATGCAATTACACAATGGTAAATCTCACTGTTTTACTAGCACTATTTTCAAGACGAAACTGAATAAAAAACACATAACCGATTTAAAAGCATCATGTTAGAGCAGCAAAACAATAAGTTTGCCTATCGAAAGCATTTGGACTCCATCAGGGGTTTGGCATGTCTTATAGTAATTCTATTCCATTGCAAATTCCCAATGTTTAACAATGGATACATTGGTGTTGATGTTTTCTTCGTTTTGTCTGGTTTTCTGATTTGCTCTATCTTACTCACACGAATAACTGCAAGCAACAAAAGTGGCGTGAATTTGGAGAGCTCGGGTCAGAGAAACCCCATCCGACAAAATTAGACCCAAAATGTTTCAGAAATTTATCTCTAAACACGACTTTTTTGGCATGATGTCATGTCTGTTAAAGCAGCATGCTAAAGTTTTGATGAAAAAATCGAAAAACAACATGAAATTTTTCGTTTTTTTTTTGCAAAAATCATATATTCCCCAGTTTAAAATCGCTACTTAATTGAATTACCCAGCTTTGGGTTTTGAAGAAGCTCTCATGTAATCGTACTTTATTGCGATGACCAGAGTTTCACAAATTCACTCCAGATGGAATTGCGTCTATTTTCCTCAACTTTTACTACCGGCGTTTCTTAAGACTCTTTCCTGCATCCGCCTGCGTTCTTCAAGTTACTGCTTTGATGTATCGCTTCAACGAATTACCATTTTACGTCCGCAAACACAGGTTCGATACGCTTGGTAGCAGTTTATTTTAAGAACCTAGTTACGATGCTAGTTTTGAGCACATTGTCTGTGGAAGTTTAAAACAAAGATTTACCTATAAGTTTTTACAATTATTGGATCTCTTTAACTTCTTTAACTATTTCCCACTTTTACAAAATGGGGCGGGATTCGTTCCAAGGTACCTTAGAGGGGGCTACTAAAATATCAATCATCTTTCACATGTAACGAAGTGGGACCAAGTGAGCAATCTCCCCCCTAAATCAATTTAGAAGGGAGTCTGTTCACTTGGTTCTAAATAACATTTTGCAGCCAATCATAGTAACTGCAGGCCATAGGGTTTGTTAACTTGGTTTATAGTAATTTTTTCAGCCAATAAGATTTGAGCATAGTACATGCAGGCCTTACTGCTTGAATTTGTCTTTTACTTTTAGAGAGAGAGAGGGGGGGGATTATTCACTTGGTCTATTCTGGGGGTGATTGTTGTTCATTGTTCACATGGGCCTTTAAATATAATTAATGTATGGAACTATGTGTCTGTCAAACTCTGATGCCAACGGACACATTTTGTGCTCTGTTATGAAGCCAATCTTGGCGTGGTAAGAATTTGAGCTACACACCAGTTTTTCAACCAAGTATATTCCATTTTAGATTTAGTGAATAACAACGTACGTTTGACTATCACTTTTACCGATAAATAAATTCAGTTGGTTCGTTTAGAGGTGACTCTGTTCATGTAGTTCCCAGCTGCCCTTCAAAATTGTCCACCACAAACTGCTTGTTTTAGTCCTTCTGAATTTTTTGAAAAGTTTCACATGATAAAGACTCTATGATATCATCACAAGACTGATCGTATCAAAATGGAGTCCCGAGTTTTCCAAATAAATTCTCAGCACAATCAAAATCTTTTAAATTGGTAATTCATTTGAAAAGTTATCTAAAAAATTATGACAAAATTTTTGATTAATTTTTCATTTTTTCTGATATTCCCCTCCCACGCTTACTAAAAATTTTGAGATAGCCTAATAATAAGAAGAAGCGGCTAGCAGCTTCCAATTTTAACAGATTGATTTAATATAACGCTCACGCTTTAATAGGACAAAACATATTTCGTATTAATTATAACAATATGAATTACAGTCGTCAAAAAGCAGTCCTAAAATCAAAATATTATAATTTATCCATCAACAGTTATGATTATCCATGATTTCTGTTTAAAAATTTCCAAAAAAATTGCCAGATGAAAAATTTGAAAATAGTTTGGAGAAATAAAAACCGTCACTAGAATAAAAGTATTCTATTCCGTCCCTATCTTCAACAGCAGAAAAAAATGAATGCTGAGGGTGCCAGACATCGAGCCGACGGGACTTCAAGCCAAATATTTCCTTATAAATTTGTGAAATATGGTCAGTTTCAAAACTTTTTGGGAGAGTTTCTAAATTTCATGATCTTTCTTCGCTAGCTAGTTATTAAGGTTTTCATTAAATTGAAGCCTCCTAATGGGGAGTAGGAAATTAAGTTTACTCAATCCCTGTCTCAAAACAGCTTTAAAGACATTTTTAGGGTAGAAATCTCGTTCAAATTTGTTCACATGTCCGCTTCTAAACCTACAAATATACGATCCCATGACGAACCCAAACCGGCAACTGTTTAAAGGCCCATTAAGAAGCGTGGAACTGTTTGAAAAATGACAGAAATAACTTGGAACATTGACATATTTTATAAAATGTGCAACTCTGCAAATCAAAAGTTTTGAGGAATTGGACATAGCTCTTATAAATAGCTCTTATACGTAGCTTTTAAAATCAATTACCGTGTCTCAATTCAATTTGGAATTGCTTAATCAAGGCTTTGGGTGCAAGAATATATGCACTTTTTATTAGGATGCACTTTTTGTTAGATCAGCGACTTTGAATTTCCTAGACAATTGACGAACCTTCGAATTCACACGCCCCACCCAAACACGCACAGCGCTAACTTGTTGAATCTGTTTCAGGTCTTCATTTATCGCATCCGCATTTTATTACCAGAACTGGCACGAGATGAAAGTAGAATCTAATTACTTCTTTGACAAGGGATCTGACCAATCTCCAGTTGTACATTTCTGGTCACTTTCAATTGAAGAACAGTTCTATCTCATTTTCCCATCATTCTTACTGGTACTATCAGTTATTTTCAAACACAAAACATTATTATTATTAATATTCTTTTCTGGTTTCACAATTTTATTCGCAGTTGTTAATGCCGAACTGTTCGAATACTCCGAAATGACGTCTTATTATTCAACCATGGGTCGCTTTTATCAGTTTGGACTAGGTACATGATACACATGCTCATAATACGCATGTGTAGTATACGCATAATACACATGCATCTTCAAAAATTAATTAGCCGTGCGGAGATTACAACGTCCTTTTTGGAATAAAAAAACATAAAAAGTGTTTGACTCTTTCCAAGTATACCCTCCAACCCCCCTTGCAAAGTTTTTAACAAAGACATACATTCTTTCTCATCACTGCAATATTTTGGTTTTGTATTGAGTGGGGGATGTAATAATTGGAAAAACTCAAATGTTTTTGACTAAAATTTCGAATGATACGCTCAAAGCGTTTTGATATCTGTCAAAAAATAACTGAACCGCTAAACTAATTAATTGGGAACAAAAATAAGCAACCATGCTGCCAAATTATAAAGGATAATTTTGGGTTCTTGACAGCTCAGGTACGAAGGGTTCAAAAAGACGAACTCTTTTGACATTTAATTTATTTAATTTGTTTCAATATGTTCCTAACTTCGATTTGAGTTTTTTGGAAAAAAGTTAGACCGCTCAAGATCTGCGATATTAATTATGGTTCGCTAACATATTTCATAGCTTTCAAAGTTGGTTGAGAACAGCTTTTGATCTACCTTTTTTAAAATAATTCTTTCGGATTTTTCTAATTAACCTGCGTATATCTGTCGGTTTCTCGAAGAAACACATATACGTTTTAAAATTGCCAGACTTTGTCAGTATCAGCGTTTTTTCTGTTTTACTAAAATTTATTGAACGACTTCCCGCATTGGAGTTCCATGAATAAAAATCGATTATAATTGAGTTTCCTTGTCAGTGTTCACAAAAGTGAAAACAAATCGATTATAATCAATTAAAAATGGATTATAATATTACTGTTTTTCGAGGCAACAAAATCCTTTTTTCATCCATTATAATCGATTTATTTTCACTTTTGTGGACACTGACAATGAAACTAAATTATAATCAATTTTTTTCCACTTTACTGAGATGCGAATTTCAACGCACATAAAGTCTTTTCTACGTTTTAAATTAAAGTTGGTTACGTTGGTTACTTGTTCAATTGAATTTTTTTCTATCTAACTCTGATATTTTTTTTCAGGGGGGTTGTTCAGGGGGTAATCAGATGAGGGGGGCAGTGGGGGGAGGCGAGCAAAGGGGCAAACGTTAGGGGGAGTGAAGGGGAGCAAAGGGGTAAACGTTGGGGGAGGGGGGAGCTCAACGGAATCTTTCTGCAATTTGAGTTTAGGTTTTGAAATGGATTAGGCCAGGCCGTACACTCGCTTTGCAAAGTTTCCGCATCACTCACTTGATAAATGCTGATATTCTTGCAAAATTTTGCACGACGCACGAAACAAAAATAAAGTGAAAAAAAATCCATTTTAATGTGATTTCCTACTTATTACAAATTCCATTGTATTGGATTCAAAGTGAATTATAATGCATTTTGTTTTGGCGAGAAAAAATGGATTTAAATCCATTTTTAGTCCAACTTTGTTCTCTGAACGTAACATGGGAATCGATTATATTTACAACATTATAGACCACGAAAATCTATTATAATCGATTTGTTTTCACTTTGCTTAAATGCGGGTTCGTATTATAAGTCCGCTGTTTTCTTCGATTTCCCGAACAAACAACTTACAGGAAATAACTGATTTTAATGACAATAAAAGGCTGCTCGTGTATCAGGGCAGAGCCCTGAATCTTCCAATTGCCACTCAACTGGTCTCGAATATTGATGGTTTAAATTACTACTATAATAAATAGGTCTCTCGAGAAAGCAACTTGTGATACACAGATCTCTCATGCATTTCGCATGGAATAATTTGAAAACTAAATTGTGTATGGTTTATTCATAACAAAATCTCACGAATTATGTTCAGTCAGAAACTTTTCACATTATAAATTGTAATTACTACCTTGTTTATATAAAAAAATTGCACTTTTTAACTTATTGTTCCGACTTTCGATATGAAAGTAACGGAATATTTGTGCTCGGGGTGGGTTTTTTTTTCTTCAGACAAACTTCGACTTTTTAATTAGCCATTTTTGACGGACTTTTTTTCATCATTCAAAAGGTAATGTTGTCCTGGGCTTAAATTTGAAAAGATATTTCACCTTTGATCTTTTTTCGTAAAGTTATGAGAGTTTAAAGGTTGCCATTTCGGCCATTTTGACCAGTTTGGGACAATTAACGCGCGATATATTTCGAGCTATTAACGCGTAAGCGGAGATTCAATCCGTCTTAGAAATTGTTCCAATTTGGCTGAACGAAGCTTATTTGCCATAATTGATTTGTTACAAGGAACGAAATCTATCCTTTGTACACTATATGAAGTGTGGGGGGATGATTTACATAAAAAATTTCAAATTTTAGAAAAAAAAATTCATTTTATTTTATTTCATTTAATTTTTTAATGATATTACTGCTCCATAAACCTTAAAAGGCAGTCGAAACTATCAAGGCTTCGCCCTGATACGAGCAGTCTTGTTTGTTTATGTAAAAACCGTAATTAAGGTAACTTATTTTTCATAAGATTCAATTTTGGCAATTTTCTGAATTTTCTACCTTAAAATGGCTAGGGAAGAAGTCTTACGGCAAAAATAAGCAAAACTTTTTTTATTATATACTGCGACCTCTTTCTGAATGGCAAATTTGTAATTGAAAAATTTGAGAGCTCTATATGTCCTATTGCGCACTAGTTATTTTCAAGGGACCACTCTATCATAATACAGTGCTGATTTAAATTATCCGGACAAAACGAACAAAACTTGAATTTTCAAACGTGTTTTTCTCAAATTGGTTTAAGGTTAGACAAAAAGTGAAGAGGACAAAAGTTGCTTAGAATTTCACCAGAATTAATATGGTGCCATTTTTTCTCCGAAATTCTCAACAAAAACTTTACCCCAAAAATGGGTCATTTTGGCTTTTTTCAATTAATCAAGAATTACGCTGAAACTACTTTGTTAATTGATTTGAAAATTATATCACAGGAAGCCTCTTACGCAGTTCAACAAAGTTTAAGAGGGGTTAAATTTTCAAAAATTTGCGCAAATTGTTTAAAATTTTTTTTAAACAGAGATTCTGGGTTTTATATAGTAAAAATCACATTTATTGACTATCAGGTGAAAATTTTTTCATTTATACTGGTTTTTGGAAATTTAACCCTGCTTAAACTTTGTTGAACTGCGTAAGAGGCTTCCTGTGATATAATTTTCATATCAATTAACAAAGTAGTTTCAGCGTAATTCTTGATTAATTGAAAAAAGCCAAAATGACCCATTTTTGTTGAGAATTTCGGAGAAAAAATGGCACCATATTAATTCTGGTGAAATTCTAAGCAACTTTTGTCCTCTTCACTTTTTGTCTAACCTTAACCCAATTTGAGAAAAACGCGTTTGAAAATTCAAGTTTTGTTCGTTTTGTCCGGATAATTTAAATCAGCACTGTATTACCTTGTTTAATGAACTTTTAATGAATCCCGCATTGGAGTTTCATGGGAAAAAATCGATTATAATGAATTATATCGGCTAAAAATTTAACCCATATAATCGATTGTCATGACGCATCCAACCATGAAAATAGATTTTCAGGGGATTCTACTCGATTATTTTCAATATTTAAAAATTCATTATGGTGGATTATTTTGACAATAAAATCAGTTATTTTAGGCCATTTTTTTCTGCAGAAAATTAATTACAGCTATTTGAACTCTTAAAGCATTTGGATGAGAAATGAGCAAAATTACATCAGTATGACATCACCTGCCCTACCTCCACCTCATCTACACCCCCACACACACACCCCCCAGGTTTCGACACCACCTCCCCGCCACTCCCTCTACTTGGGTGTATGAACAGGCCAATTACTTGCCCCCCACACGGTGATGGTGGCCTAAACAAGGGGTTGTTAGAAATTGGTGATGGAGTTCTGAAATCCCTGAAACGCACGTTTATGCATGTCCCAGCTCTTCCCCCACCACCATATCCCCCCGTAGAGCCATTCCCCCGGCCTTCAACCATTAAATACCCCCTCGTTCAAGTGAGGGGAGACGGGTAGTGGGCGGGAGAGGTGCAGTACGCGGGGGGTGGGCGAATGGTAGTTTTTTTTACTATGATAAAAAAAATTACAGTTGAATCCAATGTTCAACTGCCAAATTGAAAGTGTAGAGAAATTTAAATGTATAAAACCTTAAGTGAAAAATTTAAGTTTATGAAAGGTAATCCGTAGCAACTGCACTAAGCAAGAAGTAAGATAACTTGCAAAAAAGCAAAATTCACCAATAACTTCTCAAAAAATCCATTATAATCGATTATAATCTATATAATGGATTATATTGATATGAAAAATAGTATAACTATATTCTAATTTTAATTGATTCTACTCCATTAATTTTTAAGGATACTGACTATAAAACGACAATATAATCGATTATTAGCCATAAAACTCCAGTCCGGGATGACAAATTATTTCCAATGTCAAAAACAAAAGGCTAAATTTGAGTCGAGTTAAATTGACCAATTAGTTTGCCACAATTCAGATTAAAATTATTATGAATGCGGTACAGTTTGCCTTATTGGTTCGCGCGTTGAAACTATTTACTAATAATTGAGCACTTCCAATCGCTTTTAGGCTTGTGGCAAGCCTACTTGCTGGGCAATCTGAAATTTTCCAGATCATTACCACTACGCAGTCAATTTTTGTAAGAACTGACTGAAAAAAAAACACCGCAAGCAAATAAGTTCCGCATTTTCTTCGAAAGTCGTAAGAATAATTAATTTTTTAGTAATAGATAATGGAGTATCATGATTAACATTTTCCCACTATAATCAGCATTTATGCATAAAACTTTTTTTATGCATATTATTTTGGGGGTAAAATCA